ATTTATTTGAAAGTCAGAATTACAGAGAGAGACAGAGAGGGAGAGAGAGAGAGAGAGAAAATCTCCTATCCACTGGTTCACTCCCAAATGGCTGCAATGGCCAGGGCTGGGCCAGGCTGAAGCCAGGAACCAGGAGGGTGCAGGGGCCCAAGCACTTGGGCCATTTTCCACTGCTTTCCTAAGAACATTAGCAGGGAGCTGAATTGGAAGTGGAGCAGCCAGGACTTGAACCGGTGCTCATACGAGATGCCAGCCCTGCAGACGGCAGCTTAACTTGCTATGCCGCAGTGCCAGCCCCTCAATGCTTTCTTGTGCTCAGAAAGAAGCTAGAGATCCAGAGAGGCCACAGAGGGGAAGGACATTCTAGATTGGGCACTAGGATGAGATGAAGGAGGCAGGGGAGGCAGAAGTGGTGAGTAAGTGTGACCAGAGCAGAACGCCCCTCCCTCCATGCCCTGGGCCCCCACAGCAGCACGGAAGGGCTCCTGGTCAGCCCTGCACGCCCGTCTCCAGCCACGCTCAGACTCTGGGCAGATACGGGACTGATGGCAGCCACGTGGGTGCAGGGAACACCACAGTGGAAAGGAAAGAATCTGTGCAATGGAGCTGGAGCTGTGGCAGCCGGGAGCACAGGCCTGGCACAGCGAGCAAAAAGCAGTAACTTCCTGTCTTTTCAAACGTGCAAAATGCTATCAGACGGTATGTGTGCTTTATCCGGCTCTTTTTAAAAGATCGATGTTCTTATCTGATGCTTTTTCCAAAAAATCAATTTTGTTTCTGAGATTTGTCTAAATGGATACATATAGATATGTCTTTTTTTTTACTTCTATATTGTATCCCATGAACGTATTGTGTATTTCTGGCTAAAAGTCATAGTTTTCCTTTCCGTATTTAGGTGTTTCATCCTCCTAGAATTTATGTTTGTGTGTGCATAGCATGAGGTAGTATTTCCTCTCTGTATTTTCCCAGCCTCATCTTCTTAAAAAAGGATTTATTTTGTTTGAAAGGCACAGTTACAGAGAAAGATAGAAAAAGAGATATTCTATTTGCTGGAGCACTTCCCAGGTAGCCACAACAGCCGGGGCTGGACCAGGCTAAAGCCAGGAGCCTCAAACTCCATCGGGGTCTCTCATGTGGGTGGCAGGGGCCCAAGCATCTGCGCCATCTTCTGCTGCATTCCTAGGCACATTAGCAGGGAGCTGGATCAGAAGGGGAGCGGCTGGGACTCAGAACCGGTGCCCACATGGGATACTGGCACTGCAAACAATGGTTTAACCCACTGCGCCACAACACCAGCCCCAAGGGTCATATTTTTACGCTCTTTCTTACAACACTGTTGCAGCTTTGATTGGAAATGCACTTTATTACCACGGGAAGGGTCACATACAGAATGTGAAACCTCACACATCAACATGGACTATCTGTTAATACATAGAGACATCCTTTAATTTTCCTTAACAGTGTTCTATAAAGACTTGTCACTGGGTACACTGCACTTGTGACTGATCTTTAAACATTTATTTTTATTTCTAAAATGTCAGTGTGCTTAATTTCTGTATATTGACTTCACCCAGCCACCTCGCTGAGCTCCATAGTAAGTGATATTTCTCCATCAGTCCTCTTGGGTTTTTCTATTTAGATAATTCTATCATCCAAACGTGCTGCTTCTTTCCGATTCTCATGTCACTCATTTTTCCTGTCTTATTGGGTAGTACAGGACCGTTAGCATCATGCTTCACCAAAGCCTTAGCAGTGCGTTTTTCTCGACTTCAAAGGTCGTGCGTTTAATGTTTCACTGTCATCATGGCGTCTGTGGTATTCTCACCACTGCTCTTTCTCAAGCTGTGGAAATTCGATTGTTAGTCTAAGATTTTCATTATGAGTGGATGTTGGCTTTTTATCAATACTTCTGTATTTATTAAGGTTGTCCTATAGTGTTTCATCTATTAATACAGTAGGGTACAGTAATGGATTTGCTAATCTATTTTTAATGGTTCCAGCTTGCCCATTGTGCTGGATTCAGTTTGCCAGGATGTATTTCATTTGATGTATCTGGGAATGAAACTGGCTTATAATCTTCTATAAACTGTCCCGTGTGGGGCTCCAACTGTGCCTCGCTGCTTCTTTCTTACTGTCCTCGGGAACTCCACATTCTTCTCGCTTACTTTCAGAGCCACTCAGCTCTCTCCATCCCATACAACATGTCTCAAAGAGTGATCGAAGAATCTCTGTGGTCACCAGAAGTCTCTTAGTAGCCATTTAATCGTTTGAAAGACTCAGAAGAAAAATAATGCAATTATTTTATGCACGGATAATTTAAAAATCTGAAATGCAGGATTAGTCGTGATTTTCATAGAATTTCTCACTTTTTTGTTCATAAAAGCAGTTGTGTTCATCAAAGACTACAGTGCGTGGTGGTTAATATGAAGTGAATGGCAGGCACAGTGACGATTTGCTCCCCAAATGGTCGCAACAGCCAGGCCTGGGCCAAGCCAAGGCTGGGAGCCGGAGTTCCATCATCTGCACAGCAGAGGCCCCAGCACTGGAGCCACGAGCCACTGCTTTCCCAGGAGCATCAACAGGAAGCTAGACTGGAAGCAGAGCATCCGGATCCAAACCCACAGCCCAGTACAGATGCTGGCGCACAAGCGGTGGCCTGACCCACGACACCACAGCACCAGCTCCAGGAAGCGTTTCCTAACAATGTATTCATTGTCATTTGCAGTTGTTTACATTTGTGAAACTTGCATTTGCCAGCATTACTTTTGCATTGCATAATATCCCAATTCACAAAAATGAATCAGCACTTCAAAAGTGGTCTGCTAAAATGTAATAATGAGAAAAATTTAAATATATATCCTACAACATGAAATAAGGTCACAAATATAAGTAATAAATAGACTCCATCACAAAAATAAAAATGTAAACCTGGCTTGAGACAGGTAGGAAATAATCTCACAAAAGCAGATAAAAATATATAAGAAAACAGAAGCCACGGCAGTGAATAAGTTACTGAATTTTGTGAGACCAGTGATCCCTTTGCCTTCATACCTACTTTACGATCTAACATTTGGGTCAGAACTTCCAATAAAGCTCATCAACCTCACTCTTCAACTGGCCGTGTCTTGTAGAAGCACAAAATGAGTCTTCTCGGGACAAAATTATCAAAATCTGATGAAAAGGTGAGAAGACACCGACACTACAGAGCTAGCATTCATCCTCCTACCAAAATCAGGCGCAGTCGCACTCTTGCTGCTAAGACAGAAACTCAGCTTCAAAATTACCCACAAAGCTGCGGTTGGAGGGGAGCAAGAGCGACTGGTGGAGTCCCTTCCTTCGAATCACCGCATTCCTTGTAATGTCAATCAATGGCTGTGACACACGGGAGCAAACAGACACCTGAGTGGACAAGCTATGAAGGGCACAGCAGTCAGCAAAGGCTCACACAAACGTGAGGGGCGGGCTCAGTGACTGTCCTATTGTCAGGAAGCTGATTTTCAGAGCTGAGACCTCTCGTCTGGTTAAAGGTTCGTTTTAAACTATGCAACCGTCTTTAAAAATGTGTTGGCTTTGCACATTATTCACGGCTGTCAAAAGGTGCAACTATCCCAAACTTCCATCAACAGGTGGGGCATAAGCAAGTTGTAGTCAATCGATAAACAGAGGCTGCTGTTCGTCCCTAAACACGAATGAGATTCGGACACAGCACGCAACTTGCGAAGCAAGCCTGAAACAAAGGACAATCCTGTGTGCCTGCACCAACCAGAGGCGTCCGGACTCCCGGGGACAGCAGCAGAACAGCGCTGTCCGAGTGGAGGACGGGAGGGACTGTTCACGGCTCCCCTGCCGTTCGAGGTGACAGGAAAGATCCGGAGAGGTGCATGCTTACCGCATTAACTTCACACTTAAAACGATTCCAGTGATCAATCTGTCCTGTATACTCTACCAAAGCTGTATGGAAAAGCGGACACAAGAGCCAGTGCTGCGGCAGTGTAGGTTAAGCCTCTGCCTGTGGCACTGGTATATGGGCACCAGTTTGAGTCCTGCTGCTCTGCTTCCAATCCAACTCCCTGCTGGGCCTGGGAAAGCAGTGGATCACGGCCCAAGTCCCCGGGCCCCTGCACCCTCCTGGGAGACCCGGAAGAAGCTCCTGGCTCCTGGCGTCAGATCAGCCCAGCCCTGGCTGTTGTGGTCACTTGGGGAGTGAACCAGCAGATGCAAGACTCTCTCTCTCTCTGATTCTCAAATACACAAATATACAAATAAGTCTTTTTAAAATATTTATTTACTTGAAAGACAGAGTTACTGAGAGAGAGAAGGAGACGCAGAGAGAGAGAGAGAGAGGTCTTCCATCCGCTGGTTCACTCCCCAACTGGCCACAACGGCCGGAGCTGGGCCGATCCGGAGCCGGGAGCCAGGAGCCTCCTCCGGGTGCAGGGGCCCAAGGACCTGGGCCATCCTCCACTGCTTTCTCAGGCCACAGCAGGGAGCTGGATCGGAAGTGGAGCAGCCGGGTCTCGAACCGGATTCCATCTGGGATGTCGACATTGCAGGCCGCGGCTTTCTTTACCCACTATGCCACAGCGCCACAATGCCACTATGCCACAAATAAATCTCTAAAAAAACCAAAAACCAGGCATGTGGAACTGACACTGAAGCAGGACGTGCCACAGGACGCCGCTTCCCGCCACTCCGCCGGGCCGGCACAGCCCGGAAACCAGCGGGCCATACACGCCTCAGGACCGCTGTGTGCGTGGGAGGAGGGCTCACGGCCACGTGGGGGGAGGGTTCACGGCCACGTGGGGGGAGGGCTCACGGCGCAGCGGTGTCTCGCTCTGTGTATGGCTCACGGCCATGTGGAGGGCTTAGGGAGGTACCAAAACCCGATGGGTGGGGCTCACGCCCACGTGGGGGGAGGGCTCCCGGACACGTCGGGGGAGGACTCCCGTCCACGTGGAGGAGGGCTCACGGCCACGTGGGGGGAGGGCTCACGGCCACGTGGGGGGAGGGCTCACGGCCACGTGGGGGGAGGGCTCACGGCCACGTGGGGGAGGGCTCACGGCCACGCGACCGCGTCCGCTCTGCCTGCAGGGCCGGGGGCGCGCCGAGCGACCCGGAAGCCCGGACACGCCTCCGCGGTGTCCGGGTTTACACAAGCACTGCCCCGGGACCTGCCAGCATCGGGGAGACGCCCAGTGCACAGCGCATCTGCAATGGCTGAACGTCGGGATTTCTCCAAACTGGAGCGCGGGGAGGGTGAGGCGGTTCCCCGCGGGCGCCCGGGACTTTCCCACTCACCAGGGAGCACGCCGCCGCCTGCGCTGAGCCGGCCCTTCAATTCCAGCTCGCCGCCGTCGAGAACGGTCTCCGGACGGCCCTGCACGGAACCTCTAGTCTGTGTTGGCTCTGAGAAGCCGGAAACACCTGCCACAGGCCCCCGCAGCCTCCAACTCGGAGTCGGGGACTTCTAAGTTAGGAAAGCTGCAGAGCGGGGGCGGCAGACAGCAAGCTGTGGAAGCTGACAGGCCCCGGGGCACACAGCCCAGCTGACGTGGGCCGGCTCAGAGAGACGGCTCCAACTCCACGGCTGGACTCCTTCGCTCTGTGGCGCCATGTTCATCCACCTGTCAATCAGGCGACCCCTGACCAGGAAGTACCGCCTCTCACCGCGACGTGGGGCGGAGCCACGTAAACACGTCCGGTTTTCCCGCCTATAAAAGGCTAGGGAGACCGGAAGTGCACGGTCTCGCCTCTACTGGACTGAGGGTGGACGCAGCAGGGTGTGGTCATTCCCTTCCTCTGGCCCCGTTCTCCCTGAATGGAGCCCTAATGAGCCTGTGTGTTTCCCTCACTTTGTAAGTAAAGTTGGTCGCACTGCACGCCGCGTCTGGGCCTGGATTTGGAAATCTCTAAGACAAGAGCCTGGAAGATGATTTAGGCCCAGACCCGGCCCAGACACAGCCAGAGGCCGCTCCACGGCCGGCCTCAAACCCGAGCTCTCCTCTCACGGGTCCGGAGGCGACCCGGTTAGTAACGTCGAGGTTCCGCTTGCTTTCCGGGGAAGTGCCTATGCAGGCTTGAAGGTCGCGTGGTCCCGGCCTCCCGGCGGCTACCACTCGGCTGCCGCGGGGTTCCGCTCGCCCTTCCCCGTCTCCGGCCATCCCAGGCCAGGTGGCTTGCGACGGGCTCCCAACTCTGGGACCTGCTTGGTTTCGCCTCTCCTGGGGTGGCAGGGGAAGCGCCGCTTGCTGTTCGTTGTTCAGTCGCCGCGTCTGTATCAGCCTGGATTGTGCAGACGTGGCGTGTGCATGGAATGACCAGACACGTTTTCCGCTCCCTGAGCTGCAGCGAGCAGCTCTTGCTTAGCACTCGGCCAGCGAAGGTCGGGGCTGTGTCTGGGCGGAGCGCAATCCTGCCTGCGCGCGTGGCGCCAGCTGGTCCTGCCCGCCCCTTGCCAGTCGCTCTGGCCCCGCAGCTCCGGCCTGTCCGCGCCCTGGGCACCGCCGGGGCTCCCCGCTTCCCCTTAGCTTGGCTCTGCCAGCCACCGCCCGCGTCAGTGACTGGTCGGTGAGCCTGCGCGCACGCTTCGGCATAGCCGGTCGTCCGCACCTGGTCTCCGAACGCTGTGTTGCCTGCGTCCTCCCTGCCCTGCGCCTGTTTCTGAAAACTGCTCTACCAGTCGTTTCAGACGGCTGGCAGGGCGGGGGGAGGCAAGGGCTGTGTCTGGCCCCAAGTCCCTGTTCCCACTGCCGGCGCGTACGTCTGCAGTCACGGAGCTGAGTTTCTGTGATGCGCCCGCAGTTCATGGGTGCAGCTGAGTCCCTGGGGTGCGTGGGTCTCGAGGGAGGCTCCCCGCGGCCAGCTTGCTAGGAATTCAAATTCTTTTGGAGAATACTTGTTTAGCTCTTTTGCCCATCTCTTAACTGGACTGCTTGGATTGGTTCTTGTTTCGGTTCCTCATAGATTCTGGATGTCGATTCTTTGTCAGATGAATACTTTGTAAATATTTCTCCCGTTCCGTTGGTTATCTTCACTCTGTGCATTGTTTCCTTTGCTATGCAAAAGGTTCTTTAAAAAGAAAAAAAGACCTTTAGTGGTGCCTGCTATGAAAACAGAAGTGGAGACATGTAAAAAGGCCGCAGCTGGAAAAGCCACGGCCTGCAGTGCCAGCCTCCCACATAGGAGCCAGTTCAAGTCCCGGCTGCTCCACTTCTGATCCAGCTCCCTGCTAGTGCGCCTGGGAAAGCAGCAGAGGATGGTCCAGGTGCCTGGGCCCCTGCACCTGTGAGGGAGACCCAGAGGAGCCTCCTGGCTCCTGGCTTCAGGTCAGCTCAGCTCCGGCCGTTACGGCCATTTGGGGACTGAATTGGTGGATGGAAGATCTCTCTCTGTTTCTACCTCTCTCTGCAACTCTGTGTTTCAAATAAATAGAATGAATCTTTAAGGGGGGGGAGGGGTTGCACGGAGCTGGTCCCCTGCCCCGTGCGCCGCCGTCAGTCACACGAAGCCCTCCCAACCCGTGTCTTTCTGTGCCTCCCTGGCCCTCCTCGTCTGCGTCTCGTGTCCTTGCCTTGCCCTGTTTCTCTTCGCCACCTCAGTGATGCTCCTTGCGCATTTTCCCGGGAACAGTCCCAGCAGCCATGTCTCCCCCCGAAGGCGGAGGAGACCCCGAGCCCTGTCCCTCGTTAACTCCTCTCCGCCCTCCTCCCCAGGTATGTCTTCACCGTCATTTACACCTTCGAAGCGCTGCTGAAGATACTGGCCAGGGGGTTCTGTCTGAATGAGTTCACTTACCTACGAGACCCTTGGAACTGGCTGGACTTCAGTGTCATCACCCTGGCGTGAGTATGTGTGTGTGTGTGTGTGTGTGTGTCCGAGTGTCCGTGTGTGTGTCTGTGTCCGTGTGTGTGTCTGTGTGTGTCTGTGTCCATGTGTGTGTGTCGGTGTGTCTGTGTGTCCAAGTGTCCGTGTGTGTGTTCAAGTGTCACTGTGTGTGTCCGTGTGTCTGTGTGTCCGAGTGTCTGTGTGTGTGTCTGTCCATGTGTGTGTGTCCATGTGTGTGTCTGTGTCCGTTTGTGTGTCTGTGTCTGTGTCCGTGTGTGTGTGTCCGTGTGTCTGTGTCCATGTGTGTGTCTGTATCTGTGTGTGTGTCCATGTGTGTGTATGTGTCCGTGTGTGTCCATGTGGCGTTGGCAGCTGTGTTCAGGCCCCTACACTACGGACATTTCCTCATCTCAGCCGAGCTCCCTCCTTTAGCCCCACAGGGCCTGGGATTTTCTCCCAGGAGTGCTACTTTGGGGTCACGTTGCAGGGTTAGTCCCGTGGGCACAGGAAGTCAAGGATGTCAGATCTGGACCGTCGGAGGGCTTGGTGTTGCACCTGCCGACAAGGCCTTCTGCTGAGGTGTCAGTGACTGGTTGGCTGAGCCTGTGTGCACGCTTGCGTAGCGTCCGTCCACACAGCATCACAGCCTCCTTGTCACTGTGCGTCTTTTCAGATGGTCCATTCCGAAAGACGCTGTGATGGCTAACTTGGCGTTGGCATCAGACTGTAGATGGCGGTGCCTGTAGATTCCCAGCATCCTCTCCGGGTGCTTCCTAGGCTCGTGTGACCCAAAGGTGTCCTCGTGTGGGCTGCACGTCTTCCTAGTAGGCTTTTCTCACGTGGTGCTGCTGACTTCTGGTCCTGCAGATACGTGGCCATCGCCAAAGACCTCCGAGGGATCTCCGGCCTGCGGACATTCAGGGTTCTCCGAGCACTGAAAACCTTTTCGGTGATTCCAGGTGAGCCGGTGCACCCGCAGAGCGTGGGCTCGTCGGCACAGGATCCCCGTGAGGTCCCAGGGAAGGGATGTCGTCTCCGCTGGACAGGCAGGGTCAGCTGGAGGCCAGAGCTGTGCCCACACTCCAGTGGCCGCACCGGCAGTAGACGACAAGGCGTGTCCTCACCTTCGGTCCTCCCTGTCGGGTTCCATTGTCATCTATGCCTACACCAAGGATTTAAACTTGGCGATGGTATCTTCACTGTTTCTGTAGCTCTAAGAGGTTGAGCCCCAGCCTTGTCTTTGGACCTGCAGAGGAGAAAAGACTCAGATAGTTCTTGGTTACAGAGAACTCAGACACAAAAGTAGCACCCCACGACTCATGGCCTGGGCCTCCTACATCTGTGTTGCTGCTAGCAGCTGGGCCACTGCTTCTCGCCTCCCACCAGGTAGATGGTGGGGACGGTGAGGCCAGAGGCCAGGCGCAGGACCCCACACTCATCCATGGCCTGATGCTCCCTGCCCTGCCCCTCCCAGAACCCTCCTCTGCCCCTGTGAAATGGAAACCCTGCTCCTGGAGGGAGCATCCCTCTGCCTTCTGCGTCTGGCTCTGCAGGGATCCACTGGAAAGCCTTTTCCAGTCTCTGGACAAACTCCACAAGGACCCACAGGTCTGCCCTTGCTCTCTCCATCACCTATGTTCAACCAGGAAGACCTGAGTGTTATTCAGACCCCTGGCCTGGCCCTCTCCACATTGGCCCACCTTGCTTCATGTTCCAGAACCCACCTGTGGGTCCACAAATACTCCTACTCACTCACCTGCTCACCCCCCGCCCACCTGGGGCTGCGCTGCTTCGTGCAGAAGTGTGTCCCCGTCTGTGTACACAGTGCTGCTTCGTGCAGAAGTGTGTCCCCACTGTGTACCCAGTGCTGCTTCATGCAGAAGTGTGTCCCCGTCTGTGTACCCAGTGCTGCTTCGTGCAGAAGCGCGTCCCCGTCTGTGTACCCAGTGCTGCTTCGTGCAGAAGTGTGTCCCCACTGTGTACCCAGTGCTGCTTCGTGCAGAAGTGTGTCCCCGTCTGTGTACCCAGCGCTGCTTTGTGCAGAAGTGTGTCCCCGTCTGTGTACCCAGTGCTGCTTCGTGCAGAAGTGTGTCCCCACTGTGTACCCAGTGCTGCTTCGTGCAGAAGTGTGTCCCCACTGTGTACCCAGTGCTGCTTTGTGCAGAAGTGTGTCCCCGTCTGTGTACCCAGTGCTGCTTCGTGCAGAAGCGCGTCCCCGTCTGTGTACCCAGTGCTGCTTCGTGCAGAAGTGTGTCCCCACTGTGTACCCAGTGCTGCTTTGTGCAGAAGTGTGTCCCCATCTGTGTATCCAGTGCTGCTTTGTGCAGAAGTGTGTCCCCACTGTGTACCCAGTGCTGCTTTGTGCAGAAGTGTGTCCCCATCTGTGTACCCAGCGCTGCTTCATGCAGAAGTGTGTCCCCGTCTGTGTACCCAGTGCTGCTTCGTGCAGAAGTGTGTCCCCGTCTGTGTACCCAGTGCTGCTTCGTGCAGAAGTGTGTCCCCGTCTGTGTACCCAGTGCTGCTTCGTGCAGAAGTGTGTCCCCGTCTGTGTACCCAGTGCTGCTTCGTGCAGAAGTGTGTCCCCGTCTGTGTACCCAGCGCTGCTTTGTGCAGAAGTGTGTCCCCATCTGTGTACCCAGTGCTGCTTCGTGCAGAAGTGTGTCCCCACTGTGTACCCAGCGCTGCTTTGTGCAGAAGTGTGTCCCCACTGTGTACCCAGTGCTGCTTCGTGCAGAAGTGTGTCCCCGTCTGTGTACCCAGCGCTGCTTTGTGCAGAAGTGTGTCCCCGTCTGTGTACCCAGTGCTGCTTCATGCAGAAGTGTGTCCCCGTCTGTGTACCCAGTGCTGCTTCGTGCAGAAGCGCGTCCCCGTCTGTGTACCCAGTGCTGCTTCGTGCAGAAGCGCGTCCCTGTCTGTGTACCCAGTGCTGCTTCGTGCAGACGGGCGTCCCCATCTGTGTACCCAGTGCTGCTTTGTGCAGAAGTGTGTCCCCACTGTGTACCCAGCACTGCTTCGTGCAGAAGTGTGTCCCCGTCTGTGTACCCAGTGCTGCTTTGTGCAAAAGTGTGTCCCCACTGTGTACCCAGCACTGCTTCGTGCAGAAGTGTGTCCCCGTCTGTGTACCCAGTGCTGCTTCGTGCAGAAGTGTGTCCCCGTCTGTGTACCCAGTGCTGCTTCGTGCAGAAGTGTGTCCCCACTGTGTACCCAGTGCTGCTTCGTGCAGAAGCGTGTCCCCGTCTGTGTACCCAGTGCTGCTTCGTGCAGAAGTGTGTCCCCGTCTGTGTACCCAGTGCTGCTTTGTGCAG